GGTGTCTCATTCAGAAATTATTTGTTGAATGAATGAACATATAATGCTTAGAAACTTCCAGTCTTAACATGTCTTTGAGCTCTGGGATCTTATTTTTTTAAACTGTGTAGAACATCACCTGTATGTGCAACCAGTACTTTCAACTCAACATGTCCATAACTGAACTCATTTTCCCCCACCTTCTTTCAAACCCCTTTCTGTATTCCCAAACTCTCATCGCTCCACTTTTCCCCTTCCCTCTTTCATTCAGCTAACTCATGTTTAGTCTTAGCTGATAAGTCATTTATTCTAGGATGCCTTCCCTGGCTCCCTGTTTTATATTAAGATCCTCTTTTGGCTGTCCCACAGCGCCATGAAGGTTATCTTAACACTCATCAAAATCTGTGATTACTTGCTTAGTTATTTTTCCTTCTCACACCAACATCAGCTTGGGAACAGGAACCCTTATATTGTACTGCTGAAGGACTATACACTGGGAAAAGGGAAATAATCAGATCTTTCGGGGATTACTGGACACAGGTTCTGAACTGACACTAATTCCTGGAGATCCAAAGCATCACTGTGGTCTGTAAATCAGAGTAGGAGCTTATGGAGGTCAGATTATCAGTGGAGTTCTAGCTCAGGTCTGTCTCACAGGGGACCCAGTGGGTTTCTGAACCCACCCTGTTGTTATTTCCTCTGTTCAGAATGCATAATTGAAACAAAACTTGGAGCTACCAGCAGGAGCCCACTGAAGGATACTCAACTTCGAGCTTCTCCTCTGGTGGAACTGTTAAGTCCTCCTGAGCCCTGGACCTCCCTTTGGTTGATGATCCTCGAGTTATTCTGAATGGTTCTTCTTCTAGGAAGTCATTGTTTAGTAATCCTAATTCTAGTTCAGAGATGCATTCTAAAAGGTCTTCTCTATTGCTTCTCCAAATTAATCTCAATTGGCTTGTCTGTATGCATTTGTGTGAGGAAGTGAATTGTTGTTTTCATAGATAAATGAGAGACCTGAAAGGGCATTTTGCTCCTCCCAGCTGAAAGGCACCCCTGGGTGACCATGGGGCTCATAGGAGGCATTGTCTAGGGCATTGACCCCCTACAACATACAGTGGCCTTACAGAAAAATCCCCAACAAAAATTAATTTTAAAAAGTACTCATCCATGAAATGCCTATAAGGGCTGATTACCTGGCATTTTGAGCCCTCTCAGAAGTAAGAGATCTCTGAAGAAAGAAACCAAAACACATAAAAGAGTGGAAACGACTCAGTGGTGACACACTGTGGAGTCCAGCCTGCAAGCAGCATACTTTGATTTACCACACAAAAACCTTAGACCACAGCTTAGTTCTTCCTTTTAAGAAAAAAAAAAAGTGGGAAACAAATAATCTAAGATTAAGGAGAAAACAAAGAGAATGACTCCTTTTTGAGCACTGTAGGTTTTATGGCAACTCTACTGCCAAAGTTTATGTAAAATGGAAATAATACGGTCTTTGTGCACATTTACGTTAAGGAAAATGAGCCCTAAGGCTGACATGGAAACTGTAAAGTTCCTAAGTTCTCTTTTCTCTATTATTTTTTTCTGCCTGCTTTAAATCTGCTGTTACTTTTCTATTAAGATAAAAACCACTGTTTGGATCTAACAGGATTTTTTTTATAAGCCAGTGGTTTTGTATTTATGTCATGGCTAAACTCCTGAAGCAAAAGCTATAGGATCTTTGTGTATGTGTGTGTACATATTTAAAAGGCCTTTATAAATTATACAATTTTATGTTTAGTTGGCAGTTAAATCCATTTTAATTTCCCTCTAGCACACCAGACTTTTTGTATCTGTACCTTATGCTGTAAATTTTGCTATCTGATTTTCACCTGAGTTGTTTTCCTTTAATATACAATATTTTTTTGAGATGGAGTTTCTCTCAGGCTGAAGCACAATGACACAATCTTAGCTCACCGCAACTTCCACCTCCCAGGTTCAAGCGATTCTCCTGCCTCAGCCTCCTGAGTAGCTGGGATTACAGGTATGCGCCACCACGCCTGGCTAATTTTTGTATTTTGAGTAGAGACAGGATTTCTATATGTTGGTGAGGCTGGTCTCGAACTCCTGACCTCAGGTGATCCACCCACCTTGGCCTCTCAAAGTGCTGAGATGACAGGTATGAGCCACCTTGCCCAGCAGTAAAATCTTTAATAAATAAACTGACTTTAAAGTTATTGGTAAAATAATATTAGAATATCTTAAGAATTTTTTTGCATTTATTGATCAAGTGGTTTCATGTTTATTCCTTCAGAATACCTAAGATTTGCCATAAGGGTTATAAAACTATAGAGCCTAGCCAAAGACAGAATGATCTTTGCTTATGTATGCTTATGAAATATTGTTGGCTTAATGAGAATAGCTAAATCCTGAGTTATTGGTATAAACAACCTTAAACGTAACCATAAGTTTTTTTTTTTTTTTTTTTTTTTGAGGTGGAGTCTCTCCCTGTCACCTAGGCTGGAGTGCAGTGGCACGATCTTAGCTCACTGAAACCTCTGCCTCCCAGGTTCAAGTGATTCTCCTGCCTCAGCTTCCCAAGTAGCTGGGATTACAGGCATGCTCCACCACGCCCCGCTAATTTTGTATTTTTAGTAGAGGCAGGGTTTCTCCATGTCAGCCAGGCTGGTCTTGAACTCCTGACCTCAGGTGATCCGCCCACCTTCGCCTCCCAAAGTCCTGTGATTACAGGTGTGTGCCAGTGCGGCTGGCCAAAACTCTACTTTTCAATGATAACAACTGAACTAGAGAATTTCCACTTGATGGGGCATTTACTGCCTTGCAATGGAATGTTAACTGAAGCTACCCCTATGCTAATGGAAATAATGTTTTTCAGAAGAGTTCCATAACAAAATAAAAATGGTTTACATAAAATCTTGCTACCTGATAAGCAGAGAGCCTCTTTCCTAGGACTAATTATGAGGAGCTGTTCAATTCTACGGTGCCCGATAGATAGCTGTCATGAGCTGTTGGGTTTTTAAATGGTATTTCCCAGGTAAACAAACATCTTGTTTAAATGCTGCTGCTTTGATTAAAGGAGGGTTAAGAAATCTTTTTTTTAAAGTTATTTGGGTGAAGTATATTTCTATAAGCTAAGTTACCTGTCTGAGTTCTCCAAAATTCAAATAGTAATTTTATGACAATATAGTTGTTTGCATAAGTTTAATAAGAGTTTTAAAACAAAAAATTGGAGACACTGGTTATTTTACCAAGATTTAAACTAAAATAGACTATTTTTTAGGTAAAGTTACAGCAAAGCCAACTTAAAGGGAGTCTATATAGGCAACTAATTATTGTTGCATTTTATGCAAATAATCAGGCAAGCATAATAAAGCCTAAAACTTACCTTGCACACAATTGGTCTTGCTATAATTTCTCTTTAAGAGAAAAAACAGAGGCTAGAGAAATTGTTTCAAAGGAAAGTCATAACACTTAACAGTAGATTTCAGCTGTAACTTGCTTTTTGAGTGCAAATTAAATCATTGTTTCTTGGCTACAGTAATCCTCTAGAGAGTACCAGATTATAATTTTTCCTCATATTTACAGTGTCGCCCCAGGTTCACACCTCTGACCTGAGAGGCGTTAGTAAAAGAATTAAGATCACTTATGAATAACTAATAATGACTAGTTACTTTCTTCTTCATTATTTATATGGAAATAGGCTTAGTCTTTTGGCTCCTCTCTCAGCACTTAGGGAGTCTTCTCCCTACAAAGGAACCTATTCTTTGGGACTACAGGCGCACCAGCACGCCTGGCTAATTTTTGTATTTTTAGTAGAGACGGGGTTTCACTATGTAGGCCAGGCTGGTCTCAAACTCCTGACCTCATGTGATCCACCCAGTTCAGCCTCCCAAAGTGCTGGGATTACAGGTGTGAGCCACTGCACCCAGCCCAGAACAATGCTTATATTCTGTATAGCTAATTGCTATGAGTCTATAATAAAAACCAAGCTTACAGTAGCTCAATACATAGAAGTTCTAAATAAGTCAGTCTTGTAACTTTGCATTTGGTTTTGTTTGTTGGCTTTTTATTTAAAATAATTTTAAGCCGGGCGTGGTGGCTCACGCCTGTAATCCCAGCACTTTGGGAGGCCGAGGCGGGTGGATCACGAGGTCAAGAGATCGAGACCATCCTGGTCAACATGGTGAAACCCCGTCTCTACTAAAAATACAAAAAATTAGCTGGACATGGTGGCGCATGCCTGTAATCCCAGCTATCAGAGGTGTGTGAACCAGAGCAACTCCATCTTGAATAGGAGTTGGGTAAAATAAGGCTGAGACATACTGGGCTGCATTCCAAGACAGTTAAGGCATTCTAAGCCACAGAATAAGACAGGAGATCAGCACAAGATATAGATCATAAAGACCTTGCTGATGAAACAGTTTGCAGTAAAGAAGCTGGCTAAAACCCATCAAAACCAAGATGGTGACCAGAGGTGACCAGAGGCAATGTCAGGAAGTTACCCTATATGGTCTTAAAAGGGGAGGCATGAATAATCCACCCCTTATTTAGCATATCATCAAGAAATAACCATAAAAATGGGCAACCAGCCGCCCTCAGGGCTGCTCTGTCTACGGAGTAGCCATTCTTTTATTCCTTTAGTTTCCTAATAAACTTGCTTTCACTTTACGTTATAGGCTCATCCTAAATTGTTTCTCGCACAAGAGGGTTCTTGTACGAGATCCAAGAACCCTCTCTTGTGATCTGGATCGGGACCCTTTTCCTGTAACAATACCATATTCTACTTCGATGATCCATTATCACTAATATTTAAAACTATTACATCTGACAGGTACTGACTGATGTATTCTTTCTCCCTAGAAAGTATAAAAGTGAGCTGTGCCTGCCAACTTTGGGCATATGTCCTCAGGAACTCCTGAGACTGTGTCACAGGTGCATCCTCAACCTTGGCAAAATAAACTTTCTAAATTGATTGAGACCTATCTCAGAAACTCAGATACTTCTGGGTTCACACGTCCTACCTGAGATTTTCTCCATCTCTTCCAATAGTTTTTCTAAGTCCTTATTCAGATCTGACAGCATTTTCAGCATGTTGTCGTAGTTTCTTTCCTCAGCATCAGCATCAGCCATTTAGGGAATACACAGAAGCTGCAGTGAGATAGACCCACATTTTAATTCCAGCTTCACTGGTTATAACTCAGCGATTTCTCCAAGGAATTCTTTCCCTATCTCTCAGATTCAGACAATACCACTTACTACACAGGGCTGTAAAGGTTAAATGGGAACATGTCTCAAGAGCCCAGCATAGCTTTTGGTACATGTAAGTTGTCTTTCCCCTTTCTTCCATCCTTGCCATACAAACATAGCTGAAGGCTGCAGTGATTAACACAGAAAACATCTTCATCATCATGCGGGAAAACGTCTGCCATAATGTTAACATAATAGTGGAATTTATTCTGGCAAAACTGTACTGAGTACCCACTAAGATGCAAGCTATTGTGCTGATTTGTTCTAAAGATACAATCCCTGAACCTAAGGAATTTCTTGTGCAATATGGGAGTAAGTCACACATAGCATATGACAAACCAGAATGTGACAGATGCAAAAGCAGATATATAAATAGCAGTTAATGTAATAATTACAGATATCAAGCTATCGAAGCCTGGAGAAGGGTAAGTTTAATTTTAAAAAATGAAATGATTCACACATTTTAAAAAATTATCAACTTAACTTTCCAGAAGAATTCTCCTAGGCATTAGAGGCAGTGCCCCATAGAGAATGTCCTGGTTCTGGAACAGAACTGCCTGGGTTCAAATCTTGGTTCCACCACCTATCAGCAGTGTTACCTTTGGCAACTTACACATCTTCTCAACAAATTTTTCGTGATTTTTTTAAAGTTTTTTTTTGAGATGCAGTTTCACTCTTATTGCCCAGGCTAAAATGCAATGGCGTGATCTCTGCACACTGCAACCTCTGCTTCCCAGGTTCAAGTGATTCTCCCGCCTCAGCCTCCCAAGTAGCTGGAATTACAGGCATGCACCACCACGCTTGGCTAATTTTTTATTTCTAGTAGAGACGGGATTTCTCTGTGTTGGTCAAGCTGGTCTCTAACTCCTGATCTCAGGCGATCTGCCCACCTCAGCCTCCCAAAGTGCTGGGATTACAGGCATGAGCCGCTGCTCCTGGCCAAGTTTTATATTTTTTAAAAGAGAATTATTAGTGGTACCTATATCTTGTGGAGTTTTGTGAGGATTAATTGAAATAAATTATATACTATTCAGCACAGTGCCTACCATAATGAGCACTTAATAAATCATATCTATTGTTATTTAAAATATTGAACTGTAATTAAATCACTCCAGATCCTCTCCTAATCTTTATTAATATACATTAATTCATTCTGTTAATATTTGAGGCTTACCTATTTATAAACAAGGCACGAGTAAGAAAGGAGAGAAATAGATTAATAATGTTGTAAGAGCTGTCAGGGAACTTGTAACCCTATGAAGGTGAAGGAATGAGCCAGATAAGCATAAAATAGGGAGGAATGGGCCACAGATACTGTGGCATTGTTCCCACTGTACATGTGGAGAAAAGCTTCCTGGCCTTTAATTCAGAGTTAGAGGCCTCCACTCAGTTATCCTGTGACTTCCTGGGCCTCCCTCATAATGGTACCTCTTAGCCGGTATTGTGATTGTGGACTCTCTACCTTCCCAACTAGACTGTGAGGTCCTGGAGAGCAGAGGCTATCTTTTCAATGAACTATTCCTAGTGTTCAGCTCAGGGCTAGGAAAACAGCAAGTGTTTAATAAATGTTGGCTGAATAAAGGACTATTGTAAAACTCTAATTCTAAAAGATAATTGTGATCTTGGCCAGGCCAGGCGCAGTGGCTCATGCTTGTAATCCCAGCACTTTGGGAGGCCAAGGTGGGTGGATCACCTGAGGTTAGGAGTTCGAGACCAGCCTAGCCAACATGGTGAAACCCCATCTCTACTAAAAATATAAAAATCAGCCAGGCATGGTGGTGGGCGCCTGTAATCCCAGCTACTTGAGGCTGAGGCAGGAGAATTGCTTGAACCTGGGAGGCGGAAGTTGCAGTGAGCCAAGATCATGCTATTGCGTTCCAGCCTGGATGACAAGAGTTAAACTCCATTTCAAAAAAAGAAGAGAAAAGTAAAGAAAAGAAATTATTATCTTTTCCCTCTTGCCATCCTCCCTGTTAAGGGTAGAGATTCTGAGGGAGGAGCAAAGGACCCTCCAAGAGGCCTGAGAGGCAGATCTGAGAACAAGGGTGCAAGGGCAGGGTGTATAGTCTTTTGGGATCTGTAAAGGAGCTACCTATGTGGGCATGGAGTCATTCCATATGCAGGGACCCTGTCCTGCTTTTTGGTAAGTAGGAATAATTTGCTAAGAGTGAGTGGGGAGGTGCAGGCAGATGGCATGGCAGGGGGCTAGTAGAGGGTGATGGGAGGAAGAAATGTCTGGAATATCTTCCTTGATCCTCTCGTATAGCTATTCCCTCTCCTTCCTTACCCAGCCAGGTCTCACACATTTGCCTGTCCTCCTTACTCCACTGTTATTTGGCATCTGTCTCTGCCGTTCACTGACAATGCTCTCACCAAAGTCATAACTGGCACTCTCAGGGTACTTTCTGTCTTTCATTTCACTTCTCTGCAGCACTGACATTTGGCCATTTTTTTTCCTGCTCAAAATCGTCTTCTCTTGATGTTTTAACCTTGTTCTCTTCAAACTCTGTCCACCTCTAGTATTTCTTTCCCTGTTCTTTCTTGGCTCTCTCCTTTGCTGGCTCTAACGTGTCAAGGGAGGGTCCTTTCAGCCCCTTCTCTTTGCAATACACATTCTTTTTTTTTTTTCTTGAGACAGGGTCTTACTCTGTCATCCAGGCTGGAGTGCAGTGGTGTGATCTTGGCTCACTGCAACCTCTGCCTCCCAGGTTAAAGCAATTCTCCTGCCTTAGCCTCCCAAGTAGGTGGGATTACAGGCACCTGCCACCATGCCTGGAGAATTTTTGTATTTTTAGTAGAGACAGGATTTTGCCATGTTGGCCAAGCTGGTCTCAAACTCCTGAACCTCAGGTAATCCACCTGCCTTGGCCTCCCTAAGTGCTGGGATTACAGGTGTGAGCCACCGTGCCTGGCCAGGACTTTGATTTTTATTCTGAGTGACATGAGGAAACAATGGAAAAGATGTTGACAAAGGTGACATAATTTGAATAATGACTTAAAAGGATCACTCTGGCTTCTATGTTGAGAATAGACTTAGAGGTGGAGAGGGTGGAACAGAGAGAGCAGTTAGAAGGTAGATGCTGCTTCAGGTAATGGAGGCTTGGGTACAAAAGAAAAAAAAAAAGTAGGTAGCTGCAAAACTCCAGGTAAGGGATGATGGAGCTTGGATCACAGTGTTAGAAGTGGAGGTAGTGGCTGGGCTCGGGGACTCATGCCTATAATCCCAGAACTTTAGGAGGCTGAAGCAGGGGGAACATGAGGTCAGGAGTTTGAGACCAGCCTGGCTAATATGGTGAAATCCTGTCTCAACTGAAAATACAAAAATTAGCCAGGCATGGTGGCATGCGTCCGTAGCCCCAGCTACTCAGGAGGCTGAGGCAGGAGACTCACTTGAACCTGGGAGGCGGAGGTTGCAGTGAGCTGAGGTCATGCCACTGCACTCCAGTCTGGGCCACAGAGCGAGACTCCCTCTCAAAAAGAAAAAAAGTGGAGGTAGTGAGATGTGAACAGATTCTGGATATGCTATGAAAACAGAGCCGATAGTATCTGCTGACATCCAAATGGAAATATGAATGTGGAGTGCAGTGAAATGCCTGGTTAAGTACACTTACTTGGGAGTTACTGGAGTATAGATAACGTTTACAGCCACAGGACTAGTTGAGATCACCTAGGAAATCAGGGTAAATGGAGGAGAGGTCTGAGCTCTCCAATATTTAGAGTCTGGGAAGATGAAGAGGAACCAGCAAAGGAGACAAAAAACCAGCAGCCAGTGAGGTACAAGCTGAGCCAGGAGAGATTGATGTTTTGGAAGTCAAGTGAAGAAAGTAAACAAGAAGCAATAAATTGTGTTGCCTATCAAGTAGTAGTAGAATTAAAAAGTGACACTGGGCCAGGCACGATGGCTCGTGCCTTGTAACCCTAGCACTTTGGGAAGCCGAGGTAAGTGGATCATTTGAGTAGAGGAGTTTAAAACCAACCTGGCTAACATGGTGAAACTCCAACTCTACTAAAAATTTTTAAAAAAATAGTGGTGCCTGGTGGTGCACACCTGTAATCCTAGCTACTAGGCAGGCTGAGGCAGGAGACTCACTTAAACCCAGGAAGCAGAAGTTGCAGTGAGTCAAGATCACACCACTGCACTCCAGCCTGGGCAACAGAGCAAGACTCTGTCTCAAAAATAGTAATAATAATAAAAGTGACCACCAGATTTGACAATCTGGAGGTCACACTGGCAATCTTGACAAGAGCTGTTTTCATGGAGTGGCTGGGACAAGAGCTTGATTTAAATGTTTCTGAAGAGAGGAAGAAGTAGAAATTCTTCAAAGAGAAGCAGAGAAATTTGCTTCAAAGAGAAGTAGAGAAACATGCCAGTACCTGAAATGTAATGTAGAGTCACAGAGGTATTTTGTTTTAAGTCGGGAGATACTACACTAGTGTCAAAGATTACAATATTTGGGCATGCAGGCCAGGCACGGTAGCTCACATCTGTAATCCCAGTTCTTTGGGAGGCTAACGCAGGAAAAATGCTTGAAGCCAGGAATTAGAAACCAGCCTGGGAAATAGTCTATACAAAAAAATTTAAAAATAGTTGGGTGTCGGCCGGGTGTGGTGGCTCATGCCTATAATCCAAGCACTTTGGAGGCCAAGGCGGGCGGATCACTTGAGGTGGGGAGTTCAAGACCAGCCTGAGCAACATGGTGAAACCCCGTCTTAAAAAAAGAAAAAGAAAATAGTTGGGTGTGGTGGTGCACACCGGCAGTCCTAGTTATTCAGGAGGCTGAGGTGGGACAACTGTGCCACAGCATTCTAGTCTAGGCTACAGAGCAAGATCTGCAACATCTCCTCTGCAAAAGAAAAAAAGGGTCAGTAAATTCAGGATATTTGATTTGGATATAACTGGTCAACTTGGTGAGATGTTTCAGAAGAGCCATAAAAGTAAAAAGATTTCCATGAATTAATTAATAGATCATTAGACAAAATGGATAGTGTGTACAGATTTAGATGGGAAGGGTAGAAAAAAACAGAGAACTAGAAGGTGGTATAGAGTGAAGGTTTTTTGAAATCTTCATGTTTCTAGGCTGTGTGGAAAGAGCTAGTTGGACAGAAAAGCCTGACGAGGCCAGGCGCACTGGCTCACGCCTGTAATCCCAGCACTTGGGAGGCTGAGGCAGGCATTCATGAGGTCGAGACTAGCCTGACCAACATGGTGAAACCCTGTCTCTACTAAAGATACAAAAAGTTAGCTGGACGTGGGGGTACTCACCTGTAATCCCAGCTACTCAGGAGGCTGAGGCAAGAGAATCACTTGAACCTGGGAGGCAGAAGTTGCAATGAGCTGAGCTCATGCCATTGCAATCCAGCCTGGATGATAGGACAAGACTGTCTCAAAAAAAAAAAAAAAGAAAGAAAGAAAGAAAAAAGAGGCTGGACAAGGTGGTTTACACCTGTAATTCCAGCACTTTGGAAGGTCAAGGCAGGTGGATCACCTGAGGTTGGGAGTTCAAGACTAGCCTGACCAAGATGGAGAAACCTCGTCTCTACAAAAAATACAAAATTAGCCGGGCGTGGTGGCACATGCCTGTAATCCTAGCTACTTGGGAGGCTGAGATAGGAGAATTGCTTGAACCGAGGAGGCAAAGGTTGTGGGGAGCTGAGATCATGCCATTGCACTCCAGTCTGGGCAACAAAAGCAAAATTTTGTCTCAAAAAAAAAAAAAAAAAGATAAGCCTGAAGAATCAGGAGAAAGGGTAGCTGATGGTGGACTGGTCTCCGACACCTATGACGGTAAGGGAAGGTAAGGTAAGGAGGTAGGGATAGAGTGAGGTAGGTAGAGGTCGAGGTAGGGTGGCAAGAGGGGAATTCAGCCCTGATGGTCTCTAACTCCCTCATAAACGGCAATGAAAAGTTTCTTCTTGTGACAACAGACATTCTTGGTTTCAGGAGAATGATAAGGGTTTAGTGAAGCTGTATGCTTCCCTAGGGGCACTTAGGCATGTGGCTGAGGCCACAGGGCTAGTGTCCTCAGGACCCTAGGATGGCACAGAAACAATGGACGGAGTGTAGACATATGCAGTGGATGGACATGGTAAGGACACTGAGGGCACAAGCATGAGAGTAGTTTAAGCAGTGGTTAAGATGATGGCTGGGATTAAGCAGAGACATACAAAAGACATGTATCCTGGTTGGGCGCAGTGGCTCACGTCTCTAATCCTAGCACAGTGGGAGGCTGCGTGTGGGTGGATCACCTGAGGTCGGAAGTTCAAGACCAGCCTGACCAACATGAAGAAACCCCATCTCTACTAAAAATAGAAAAGTAGCTGGGTGTGGTGGCACGTGCCTATAATCCCAGCTACTTGGGAGGCTGAGGCAGGAGAATTGCTTGAACCTGGGAGGTGGAGTTGCGGTGAGCTGAGATGGTGCCATTGCACTCCAGCCTGGGCAACAAGAGCAAAACTGACTCAAAAAAAAAAAAAAAAAGAAAGAAAAGAAAAGACATATATCCTTTATAATTGGGGCGTTGGGGTGGCCCCAAGTAGATTTGGGGGTAAAGATGAGACTGCTAGAAGGATGGAGGCTGTGGCCAGAGTGGCACTGGATCTCAGAGGAGGGATAGATCTGAAAAGCAGATCCAGGGAGAGGGTGTGAGAGCTGATGTAGAGGAAGCAGCCACAGGATTAGAATTCATGAAATTTCTTCCCTGATGAGGTTGCCTGGGACGACTGGCACTGGGTGGAGAAAGAGGCCTGAGCTCACACCAAAGCACAATGGAACAGGGCTCAGAATGGGTGGCAGGAGTGTGGGATCTGGGTTGGGTATCACTTTGGGTGTGAAAGACGTGGGTTGAGGAAGTCAGAGCCAAGAGTCTGCTTTGTGGTCTGAGTGTCTTGCCTGGTACAAAGAGTTTCTAATAGAGTCTGGGCTCCCTTTCAGAATAAGAAATGGGAGGGTATAGGAGGAAAGCTTGAAGAGATGTGCTCCTCTGTATGGGGTGACAGCAGCACAGGAAGGGAAGTCGCATGTGATGTGGGGAGGGAAGTTTTGGAGTTAGGGCTATGAAAAGTCTGGGCCAGTCCTGAAGTACAGATGGGAGGAAGCCAGAGTGTTTGGGAACTTGGGGTGTGAGGTGGTCCCAGGTGTGGGAGGTAGGAGGGTAAGAAGGCCATGTTGTATGGAATGAAAAGCCCAGGGTATGTAGAGTTCAGGATCCGGCATGTATAGTGTGAGGAGATGGACGTGAGATGTAAGGGGGTGGGTGACTGAGGTGAGAAATGTCGGGTGAGAGGGGTAGGGTGAGGGGTGTGGAGTGAGGAGAGTAGGGTGTGGGGTGTGCAGGGAGGAGAGGGTGAGGTGGGAGGTGAGTGAGGGTTGAGATGGGGTGAAGGGTGAGGTGGGGCTGGGGTAGGGGGGTGAGGGGTGAGGTGGAGTAAAGTGGGGTGAGGCAGGTGAAGTGAGCGGTGAGGTGGGAGGTAAGGGTTGAGGCGGGTGAGGGGCGAGGCGTGTGAGGGGTGACATGGGTGAAGGGTGAGGGGTGAGGCGGGTGAGGGGTGAGGGGGGTGAGGGGTGAGGGGTGAGGGGGGTAAGGGGTGTGGGGGGTGAGGGGGTGAGGGGGGTGAGGGGTGAGGAGGGTGAGGGGTGAGGGGGGTGGGGGGTGAGGGGGTGAGGGGGGTGAGGGGGTGAGGGGTGAGGGGGGTGAGGGGGTGAGGGGGGTGAGGGGTGAGGGGGTGAGGGGTGAGGGGTGAGGGGGGTGAGGGGTGAGGGGTGAGGGGGTGAGGGGTGAGGGGGGTGAGGGGATGAGGGGTGAGGGGCGAGGCGGGTGAGGGGGGTGGGGGGTGAAGGGGGTGAGGGGTGAGGGGTGAGGGGTGAGGGGGGTGAGGGGTGAGGGGGTGAGGGGGGTGAGGGGTGAGGAGGGTGAGGGGTGAGGGGGGTGGGGGGTGAGGGGGTGAGGGGGGTGAGGGGCGAGGCGGGTGAGGGGTGAGGGGGGTGAGGGGGTGAGGGGGGTGAGGGGTGAGGGGGTGAGGGGTGAGGGGTGAGGGGGGTGAGGGGTGAGGGGTGAGGGGGTGAGGGGTGAGGGGGGTGAGGGGATGAGGGGTGAGGGGCGAGGCGGGTGAGGGGGGTGGGGGGCGAGGCGGGTGAGGGGGGTGAGGGGCGAGGGGGGTGAGGGGCGAGGCGGGTGAGGGGGGTGAGGGGCGAGGCGGGTGAGGGGTGGGGGGCGAGGCGGGTGAGGGGGGTGAGGGGTGAGGGGGGTGAGGGGCGAGGCGGGTGAGGGGGGTGAGGGGCGAGGCGGGTGAGGGGCGAGGCGGGCGAGGCGGGTGAGGGGCGAGGCGGGTGAGGGGTGGGGGGCGAGGCGGGTGAGGGGGGTGAGGGGTGAGGGGGGTGAGGGGCGAGGCGGGTGAGGGGGGTGAGGGGCGAGGGGGGTGAGGGGCGAGGCGGGTGAGGGGGGTGAGGGGCGAGGCGGGTGAGGGGCGAGGCGGGTGAGGGGTGGGGGGCGAGGCGGGTGAGGGGGGTGAGGGGTGAGGGGGGTGAGGGGCGAGGCGGGTGAGGGGGGTGAGGGGCGAGGCGGGTGAGGCGGGTGAGGGGCGTTGCGGAAGGGGGCATGGGGTGTCGGGTGAGTGGAGTCGGGTGAGGGGTGGTGGGTCTGCTTTGAGCTTGGTGCTGCGGCGAACGCTAGGACAGGGTCAGGGGCAGCCGGGACGCGCGTCGGGAGGGCAGGGGCCCGGGACGGCGCGGCGTCGCTCACCTCCGGCTTGGCCCGCGCTCCGGTCCTGCTCTGGCGCCCCCAGCGGCCGCTTGAGGAACAAGGCCGCTCCTCAGGAGCGATGTCCCGCCCTTTCCGTTAGCAGCCCCGCCCCGGAAGTGGCCTCTCGCTCTCACTGGGTGTCCTCGGGAAAAGGGGCGGGGCCGCTTGTCCGGGTCTGGGACTGGCTGGGGCGGTGCTGGGGTCGTCCTGAGGTTGAGGGAGGATCCCCCGGAGATGAGGCCCTTCCGGGCCTGACAGTTTTACCCCCACCTCGTTCTTGAGCTTAGGGACTTATACGCGGGGCCCCGTTTGCCCAGTGTCGAGGACAGCGCTTGGTACCAAAGGTGCTGGTAAAAACGTGTGGAATGAGTAGCTGAACGCCCAGCTGTTTCCGGTCACAGCGACCACGTGTGGCCGGCATAGTGTGGCACGTGTGTTACGGAGGAGGCAGCCCGGACTCAGGGAGGCGAGGCAGAGGCGCACGCAGGTCCTCGCGGGCTGGAAAGGGCGGGGGGCTCCCGGGCGCTCGTGGTCCCCAGGCAAGAACTGGAAGCGGAACCACTCAGCACCTAGAGGGGCCGTGACAGAAAGCTCTGGCTGGGGGGAGGCTGAGCAGGGGCCGGTCTGAGCTCAGCCTTTTTTTCAGAGGGCCATGGGCACCCTGGAAGGGTGGTGAGCGGGCGCGGGGCAGAGTTCTGCCGAGGCGGGTGGTAGCGGAGCCGGCCGTCGCTGCTGTTTGGCTGAGTGGTGGTCAAAGCCATTCCAAGATCGACCTGACAGGGCTTGGTAACGGGAGGGAGGAGGAAGAAGGAACGGGCTTCTGTTCTGGCCGAGGGGATACCACTGGCGGACACGTGGGAGGGTGGGAGGAGGAAGAAGGAACGGGCTTCTGTCCTGGCCGAGGCGATACCACTGGCGGACACGTGGGAGGGTGGGAGAGAAGCCAGCTCGGGAGGTTCACTTTGGTTTTGAACACCTGTGTGTTTGAGAATCCTGACAAACCTGAGACCTCCTCAATTTTCTCTCAGGGATTCTCCAGGGGAGGAAAAATGGCTGCAGTCGAGCCAGACGGTTCTGGGCAAGGAGTGAGCATTCGCCTGGTATTGAGGAGGAGGCTGCTGCCTGGGCCGAACTCCATCCCCAGCTGCCAGGTTCCTGCCCCCGTCAAACCCGGTTTTCTGGCCATCCCTTCCCACCTGTGAGCTGCTCTTCATCATTCCGTTTGCTTATACAGCCCAGAGCCAGTTTCTGTTACTGCACGCCAGAGAAACATGAATCAGGAATATACATAGAGATTTTTGAGACGGAGTCTTGCTCTGTTGTCAGGGGGGAGTGCAGTGGCATGATTTCGGCTTACTGCAACTTCTGCCTCCCGGGTTCAAGCGATTCTCCCGCCTCAGCCTCCCCAGTAGCTGGGATTACAAGTGCCCACCACCACACCTGGCTAGTTTTTGTATTTTTAGTAGAAACAGGGTTTCGCCATTTTGGCCAGGCTGGTCTCAAACTCCTGACCTCAGGCGATCCATCCTCCTCGGCCTCCCAAAGTACTGGGATGACAGGCGTGAGCCACTGTGCCCAGCCCAAATCAGGAATAATTCCTATGGCTAATGAGACAGCTTCCAGGAAGAATAGGAGAAAGAGCACAGGATTCCAAGCAGAAGGTCCGTCTAGGGCAAAGGCAAGGGTATGGCTCAGCCTGCCTCCTTTGGGGAATGGTAAGTGTGTTCTAGGCTCAGGGTTGTTGGTAAGGGACAGAGAAGACTCGGAAAAGTGTCAGTTGAGCTGGAATGTGTGGGCTCTTGAGTACCCTGCTCAGGAGCTGGAGGTGGGCTGCCTGAAGCCCCCTGCAAACTCCAGTCCGTGAAGGCACCGGCTCTTGGGAAGCCCCAGCTGTCGGGTTGGTCTTTCCTTGCCTTTGTGCACCTGAGACTAACTATCACTTAATGTTTCCTTTACACCCTGGACACACAGCTAGACTCTACTTCTTGAGTTCTCTTGAAATGCAAGTCTTGGCCAGAGGGTATGGAGAGAAATGCTGTGTATCACCTTGAGGTTGAGGCCATCACAGCCTCCCACAAGTGCCCCAGCCATGTACTTACGATGTTGATGCCCAAGGCAGCCTGAGAACTGCCTGCTGAAGTCAGGGCTTCTGTCACCACAGATCCTAGAATCACAGTATGGGGCAGAGCCCTCATCTCAGCCAACTGTATTCTATTTGACCTCTACAGTCCAACTTCTACTGGGCAGAGCCATGAGGTTCTAGGATATATGTATGGCTGCTAGCCTTTATTAATGCAGACCTACGGGACATGGGAACTAATTGGGGTTTGGTGGGTTGTCACCAGAGATTTGACTTTTTGAGACAGTATGTCACTCTGTCACCTAGGCTGGAATGCAATGGGTCAATCATGGCTCACTGCAGCCTCCATCTCTCAGGCTCTAGTAATCCTCCCACCTCAGTCTCCTAAGTAGCTGGGACCACAGGCAAAGACCACCACACCTGGCAAGTTAAAAAAATTTTTTGTAGAGTTGGGGTCTCACTATGCTACCCAGGCTGGTCTGGCTCAAGCAGTCCTTCTGCCTTGGCCTCCCAAAGTACAGGGATTACAAGCATGAGCTACCATGCCCAGCGGTCACCAGAGGCTTATACCCCAGTTTAGCACTGTTGTTCCTCATCTCACTTATTTTAACCCAGAACAAATCAGATAAAAGAACTTCAATGCTAATTTTGATGTTAATTAAAAGCTAGCTTGTTAGAAACTCTGTTCACTGCTGTCTCAGTATGGGGTGAGCCGATGTCCCCAGAAACCTACCCAAACCCAGGCACTTTCCCAGGGGAGACTTCACTGGTACCCAAACAGGCAGAGGTCTCTGAAAAGATTTTTGGAAGCTGAAGAAAGCTCTGATACGGAATGTAACGTTTTGTGGGCAGAGGCGTACTCTTATAAGCTTATGAAGACTTGAAAGAGGTGAAGAGCCTCTGCCTTGGGAACCCTCACATGTGCTTTCAAGGTTTTAACTATCTTTAAAACTGTTATAAGGACCCCAGATCTCTCCTTAGGTTTTAATTTATATTTTCAAGAGTCTGAGACATTTTCTTTTTTTTTTTTTGAGACGGAGTTTCGCTCTTGTTACCCAGGCTGGAGTGCAGTGGCGCGATCTTGGCTCACCGCAACCTCCGCCTCCTGGGTTCAGGCAATTCTCCTGCCTCAGCCTCCTGAGTAGCTGGGATTACAGGCACGTGCCACCATGCCCAGTTAATTTGTATTTTTAGTAGAGACGGGGTTTCACCATGTTGGCCAGGATGGTCTCGATCTCTTGACCTTATGATCCGCCTGCCTCAGCCTCCCAAAGTACTGGGAGGCATACTCACAGGCGTGAGGCACCACTTCCTGCCCAGGAGCAGAATCTTAAACCTGCATAAATCATGTTCAGTAGGCCGCACACAGTGGCTCACGCCTGTAATCCCAGCACTTTGAGAGGCCGAGGTGGGCGGTCATCTGAGGTTGGGAGTTTGAGACCACCCTGACCAACATGGAGAAACCCCACCTCTACTAAAAATACAAAATTAGCCAGGTATGGTGGCACATGACTGTAATCCCAGTTACTCAGGAGGCTGAGCCAGGGAAATCACTTGAACCCGGGAAGCAGAGGTTGTGGTGAGCCAAGATCCTGCCATTACACTCCAGCCTAGGCAAGAGGAGTGAAATTCCATCTCCAAAAAAAAACATATAATATTCAGTTGTCAACATCTGCTCCCTCAAACTGTCCAGCAACTGTTGGTGTCGTATCTCCCTCCATCCCATCTTCATAGTCTTATTGAATTGTCTGTCCTGACCCCAGCCATATTATACTGGCTGCTCCTTAGCATTTAATACCTTCTAACTTACTCTGTAATTTACACATTCTTCTTGGCAATTGTCTGTCTCCTTTACTAGACTCTAAGCTGCATGAGCAGGAACTGTTTGCCAGGCGTGTTCACTGCTGCATCGTGGTGCATACTGTAGGCACTCAGTAAGCACAGACACGTACTGCATAACAATGTTGTGGTCAGCAGTGGGCGGCATATACCACTGTGGTACCATAAGATTATAATGGAGCTGAAAAATTCCTATTGCCAGTGAGGTGGTAGCCATGGAAACACTGTAGCACAATGCATTCATGACTCACCTGTGCGTGGTGATGCTGGTGTAACCTACTGCACTGCCTGCTGTGTGAAAGCACAGCACACACAATTATGTACAGTACATACTTGATAATACATGACTGTGTCACTGGTTTATGTATTTACTGTACTTTTAATCATTATTTTAGAATGTATTCCTTCTATAAAAAAGTTACCTGTACAATGCCTCAGGCAGATCCTTCAGTAGGTTTTCTAGAAGGCACTGTTCTAGAATAACATGCATAGATGACAGCTCCATGCATGTTATTACACCTGAAGACCTTCCAGTGGGACAAGATGTGGAGGTAGAAGACGGTGATATCGATGATCCTGACCCTGTATGGGCCTAGGCTAATGTGTGTGTTTGCATCTTGATTTTTATCAAAAAGTTTAAAAAGTAAAAGTAAGGCTGGGTGTGGTGGCTCATGCCTGTAATCCCAGCACTTTGGGAAGCCAAGGCGGGTGGATCACCTGAGGTCAGGAGTTTGAGACCAGCCTGACCAACATGGAGAAACCCTGTCTCTACTAAAAATACAAAATTAGCTGGGTGAGGTGGTACATGCCTGTAATCCTAGCTACTCGGGAGGCTGAGACAGGAGAATTGCTTGAACCTAGGAGGCAGAGGTTGTGGTGAGCCGAGATCGAGCCATTGCACTCCAGCCTGGGCAACAAGAGCGAGACTCCATCTCAAAAAAAATAAATAAATAAAAATAAACCTAAAATAGAAAAAAACTATAGAATAAGGATATTAAGAAAATATTTTTGTATAGCTGTACAATGTCTGTTTTTTAAGCTATTACTAAAAAGCTAAAAATTAAAAAGCTTATAAAGTTACAGTAAACTAAGGTTTATTAAAGAAAAAAAAATTATAAAATACTGTAACCAAAGGGAACAATGTTTATAAAGTCTATAATAAGATAACCTCCTAGGCCTTCACATTCACTCACCATTCACTCACTGACTCACCCAGAGCAACTTCCAATCCTATAAGCCACATTCACGGTAAGTGTCTTATATAAGTGTACCATTTTTAAGCTTTTATATAACTTTTTTTTTTTAGACAAAGTCTTGCTCTCGTCGGCAGCATGATCTTGACTCACTGCAACCTTTGCTTCCCAGGTTCAAGTGATTCTCCTGCCTGAGCCTCCCGAGTAGCTGGGGTTATAGGCACCTGCCACCACACTCGGCTAATTTTTGTATTTTTAGTAGAGATGGGGTTTCATCATGTTGGCCAGGCTGGTCTCGAACCCTTGACCTCAGGTAATCCATCCACTTTGGCCTCACAAAGTGCTGGGATTACAGGCATGAGCCACTGCACCCAGCCTATATAACATTTTTTACTGTACTTTTTCTATGTTTAGACATGTTTAGATACACAAAGACTTACCATTGTATTACAGTTGCCTACAGTATTCAGTACAGTAACATGCTGTAATGGGGTATAGTGCAGGAGCAACAGGGTATGCAATATCGCCCAGGTTTGTAGTAGGCTGTGCCATCCTGGTTTATGTAAATGCACTCTAGAAAGTTTGCACAACAAAATCGCCTAAGCATGTGTTTCTCAGAATGTATCCCCTTCATTAAGCAACCCATGTCTGTATTTGCTAAGTGGATTATTCCAGAAGCCTCCTGGTTTCTGGCCAGCTGTTCTGTCCCCTGACCACACTTGCCTCACCCAGTAGTGAATTCAACATGGGCAGGGACAGGACCTAGCTTGTCACTGAATCCCCAGCACAGGGACAAGTCTATGGTGGGTGTTCAACAGACAATGGTTCCTGGGCGGGCATGGTGGCTCACACCTGTGATCCTAGCACTTTGGAAGGTTGAGGTGGGAGGATCACTTGAGCTCAGGAGTTTGAGACCAGCCTGGGCAACATAGTGAGACCCCATCTCATGGGGTCTCATGGGGTTTCACCATCTCATGGGGTTTCACCATGTTGACCAGGATGGTCTCGATCTCTTGAACTTGTGATCCACACGCCTCGGCCTTCCAAAGTGCTGGGATTATAGGCATGAGCCACCACGCCCGGCCAAAAAAATATATATTTTATTCTTTGGGAGGCTGAGGTGGGTGGATCACGAGGTCAAGAGATCGAGACCATCCTGGTCAACATGGTGAAACCCCGTCTCTACTAAAAATACAGAAAAATTAGCTGGGCATGGTGGCACGTGCCTGTAATCCCAGCTACTCGGGAGGCTGAGGCAGGAGAATTGCCTGAACCCGGGAGGTGGAGGTTGCGGTGAGCCGAGATTACGCCATTGCACTCCAGCCTGGGTAACAAGAGCAAAACTCCATCTCAAAAAAATGAAAGAGCATCTGTTGCTGCAGACCATCCCGTGTGCCCTCTCGTGGACATGACCACTTGGCACCCCAAGACTTCAGGCCTGGGACTGCAGCCCCTTTCTATGCTGAGAAGAGGCTGTGGGGCCTCTGCAGGGTTGTGCCCAGCCAAGAGGGGTGCATCATACATCCCCCTGCATGGGAGGCAGGTGGGCTTGCTCTCCAGCAGATAGACAAACAGAAGTGGCCCCAGGGAACAGGTGAAGGTTCTGAAGCAGGAATTTATTCCAAGCACATATGTGGGCATGGACAGCTATCTCAGAGCCTACATCACTCGGCAAAGCCACACATTTCAATGCAGATCACACAAGTCCTTCATCAATAGTCTCTCAGCCCTAGTCCTTTTCTTGCTACCTCTCTGGTCTGAGCTGGGGTAAGGGGGATGGTCTCCTAATTCCCACACAAAACACAGGTACCTAAGGGCTGAGAGAAAATTAGCCTTATTTTTATTAGTATCTGTCGAGAAAAAAAAAAATCAAAATTCCCTCCTGTTCCAAGCCCACCTCCACCCCTGGGCCCTCAGGGACATGCATCTGCCCAGCGAGGGCCTGCTGCCAGAGCTGTCCTTGGAAGCTGGGCACCTGTGCACGGCCACCCCTCACGCCTGTGAGCCGCCACAGGCCCCTTCCTCCACCATGTGGGGACAAAAGGGCAGCTGGCATTTCTCCAACCTTCAGCTGTCAGCCTTGGGAACTTGGAAAAGATCAGCGATGTCCAGTAGGGCTTGGCGGATGTGGTTCCCAAAGCGCTGGGCATTCTGTGGGAGCCAAGAGCTCAGATGCAGCTTCAGATATGCACCCACCCCTCTGTCCCCACAAGCAAGGACTCCTCCCCAGCCAAAGGCACCTGTGTTCCTGGGCAGCCCCAGGTGGTACCCCTTCCTCAGGCCTGAGCTGGGACAGGAGACTCACCGTCTCTGAGCTTGAGAACTTGCTGGAGACATGGAAGAAGATCATGTTCTCGCCTGCAATCATGTAGGAAACCCCATAGCCATCATCTGCTACCTAAGGGCAACAGGAAGTGTGAAGGAGAAGGCATAAACCAAACCTTTCAGACCCTGAAGGTCTGAAAGCCAAGCTGACACTGTACTTGTTCTTCCCACAGGATTTGCCGGAACAGGCCCCAGCCCTAAACACTGCATTTTTCCTGAGGACCATCCCCAGAAAATGGTGAAAACCAAAGAATGCTGCCCAGACCCCACCAAAGGATCTAGGGGCCTCCCAGTTTCCCTCAGGGGGCTTATACTCTCGGTCACTCCATTTCTCTCCAGAGTGTTTGTTCTCTAGCCTTCTGACAAACTGGCCCATGTGAAGGTTTCTGTGGAAGACAGATGCACTCTCTTGGATAAGCAGACTTCAGACCACCCAGGGCAGCACTGCCTGGTACCCTGGAAACCAGCCGCGGGCACGGTCATGCTCCAGCAAGGAGGTATTTGGGATGGGTGGGTGCCAGGTACCTGGCTGCCTGAGTCCATAGCTAACATTCTGCTTCTGTGCAGGTCTGGGGTTATGCTCTCCTCTAAGCAAGGTGCTCCTGCCTCTGGTCTGATTTCAGGGTCTGCAACTCTCCAATGAAACCCCCAGGGCCCCGGGGGGGCTTCCCATCCACCCCCTTCAGGGGCACTCACAGGGCCAAAGCCACCTCCAGCACCCAGGTGGTTGGGGTGCTGGTCTGGATCGAACATGCGGATCTGGGATTGAGGGATCTGGCTGGTGGAGAGGCGCCAGGGTTCCGAGAGCACCTGCAACAGGGAGGCCGCAGCTGGTCAGAGGCCACATGCCCACAGCACCTGTCTGACCGGTGGTGTCTGTGACCAGCTCTGAGCCAGGCACTGTTCTGCTGAGCTGCGGGAGTGGACATGAGTGCAGGAGCTCCCTGGCCATCGCCCGTGGTCCCCTACATATCATGCCACATAAGGCTCCTGTGACCTGCCCAGCCCTCCGCTCTGCCCCTCCCCATCCCCCTGAGCCTCACCAGTCTCAGTAGTGCTGTCACCACCTGACAGATTATACATTTGTCTGTTCCCTGTCACAAGAACACCAACACCATGAAGAGACTGCTGCTCCTGCACAGCCCCAGGACCAGAGGCCCAGGTGGGGTGTGGGCAGGAAAGCTGGCCTAGCCCTCCAGGGAGCTTCAGGGGAGCCAGACAGAAAACAGGCTGTGCCCCATCATGAGATGGCCCAGCCCCTGGGTGTAGGAGGGCAGTAAGACAAAGGACACACCCGGCCATGTGCAGTGGCTCATGCCTGTAATCCCAGCACTTTGGGAGGCTGAGGCGGGTGGATCACAAGGTCAGGAGTTCAAGACCAGCCTGACCAATATGGTGAAACCCCATTTCTACAAAAATACAAAAATTAACTAGGTGTAGTGGTGGGTGTCTGTCGTCTCAGCTACTCAGGAGGTTGAGGCAAGAGAATCACTTAAACCCAGGAGGTGGAGTTTGCAGTGAGCTGAGATCACACCATTGTACTCCACCTGGGTGACAGAGCAAGACTCTGTCTCAAAAAAAAAGACACGCCCATCAACAGTGCTAACCTCAGCCAGGAAAGGAGAGCTGACTCCCAGGTACTTGGAGACCAAGTAAAGGCAGAAGAGGTGCCTGTCGATCCCTGCCCCTGTCATGGCCAGGCGGTACATATTCTGGTGCTTCTTAGAAGCTTTCTGGAAGAGATCTCGCAGGTCTGCTTTCTGCGGGGCAGAAGTAAAGGAGTGAAGAGTAGCTTTGATCCACCAGGCAGATGGGAGGCAGAAGGGGCAACTCATCAGATGACTGTGACCCCCATGTCGGGCAGAGGAGACTCACCACGTGGGACCCCTCCATCATGGCCTGCACAAAGGCTGTGGACTCACTGGTACAGGAACGCACAGTCTCAGTCCGTCCCTCCCGGAACATTCTGGTCATTGAGGCCTCATAGGTCAGGCAGAACTTACCCCTGTCCTGGGGTATACAGAGGGGTGAATCTGGCAGGTGGACCCTGGTACCACCCTGCCCTCTCAGCAGCCGGAGGCAGGACTCCTACCCGGAAGTGAGCCAGCTGCAGTGCAATCTGCACAAAGGCATCCGGGCTGGTCCGGCACCTCTTGATGAGGCCTTTGCCAAAGGGCAGAAACTGGAAGCAGTACAACTCCACATCGTCTGCCAGTGCCTTGGCCACCTGGTAGGAATTCTCGATGACTGCCTGGCACTGCCAAGACATGGGAAGGGTCAGCTGCAGGCAGGGCTCTCCAAGCAGGACTCTAGGTCACGTCCAGAAGGCATGAAGTTTAGCTGGTGGAGGAAGGGCACAGCCAGCCAAGACATGGGAAGGGTCAGCCAAGGGCAGGGCTCTCCAAGCAGGACTCTAGGTCACATCTAGGAGGCATGAAGTTTAGCTGGTGGAGGAGGGGCACAGCTGGCCGCTACATCTTCAGGAGGAGGGTACACAAGGACAACCTGATAGGGAATCAGCTGCCAGAGACTGGGCTGAGCTTTGTGAAGACGGAAGGGCTGAAAGGAGCTTCAGGAGCCTGTGAGTGCCTCCTCCATCCCATGGCCTTCTCTAAACACAGATGGCCCCAGGAGCAGTGTGTGTGTGATCTCTGTCCTCCTTGAAGCCAGTTTGGACCCTACGGGTATCCTGAGTCCTCCTGTGCCTTCCTCTGAGGGCTGGGCCAGGCAGTGGGGCCAGCAGTGGGGGAGGAGAAGGGGGACTCAGGCCTTGCTGGAGTTGTACCTGCCTGCTGCTTTGTGGTCTCACACTTGCTCTGGGTGCTTCTGACCCACCTGTTTTGGAATGTCCCACTGCAGTCGCATAGGAGGTGCCAGAGCAGGGTTTGGTTTGCCCAGGCAGTGCCCAGTCTCTGTGTAGCCCAGGTGGAAGCTGTCTGTGCCCAGGACAAACTACAGGGAGAAGATGAGACTGAGAGGCCAGCCTCATCCCCTATGGTCTGCCCTGTAGGTTCCCTCTGCAAGGCTGTTACCTCCCAGAGGTGCCCAATGATGGGAGCGTCTGCCCACGCATGTTCTGCATTGAGACCCAACTGGCCATTCTTGAAGGAAATGAGAGTGAAGGATTTGTCAAACCACCTGCAGGAAGAGTAGACGCATGAAGAGCCAAAGCTTAGAATGTCCGCAGGATCCTGACCTGCAACCCTAACCTTTTTTTTTTTTTTTGAGACGGAGTTTCGCTCTTGTTACCCAGGCTGGAGTGCAATGGCGTGATCTCGGCTCACCGCAACCTCCGCCTCCTGGGTTCAGGCAGTTCTCCTGCCTCAGCCTCCCGAGTAGCTGGGACTACAGGCGCGCACCACCATGCCCAGCTAATTTTTTGCACTTTTAGTAGAGACAGGGTTTCACCATGTTGACCAGGATGGTCTCGATCTCTTGACCTTGTGATCCACCTGCCTCGGCCTCCCAAAGTGCTGGGATGACAGGCGTGAGCCACCCCGCCCAGCCCGCAACCCTAACCTTTAACCCTAACTTGGATGTTACCTCTAATCCTAGCCCTAATACTAACACAACCCTAATTTCTAGCCCTATTCCTTTTTTTTTTTAGATGGAGTCTTGCTCTGTCGCCCAGGCCAGAGTGCAGTGGTACGATCTTGGCTCCCTGCAACCTTCCGGGTTCAAGGGATTCTCCTGCCTCAGCCTCCTGACTAGCTGGGATTACAGGTGCCTGCCACCACGCCCAGCTTCTAACCCTATTCTCTAACCCAAACCCTAACCTTTAACCTTAAGTGCTAACCCTACCTAACCACTAATCCTAATCTTAACTCCTTCTTTTTAAGATGGGGTCTTGCTATGTTGCCCAAGCTGGTCTTGAGCTCCCAAAGTGCTAGGATCACAGGTGTGTGCCACTGCACCCACCCCATAACCCTCCCTTCTTCTATCTTTAATCCTCTAACTGTAACCCTAAGCTGTAACCTGTGGGGCTGGGGATGACCAACCTGTTGTAGCAGTTGCCATGTAGCAGGGCCTTGCCATAGAGGCTGAGGCTGGCCTCATCTTCGGGGTCGTACCAGTAGGACTCCTCATCCAGGGCCACAAAGAAAGCGGCACGCTCGATGGCCTCCAAGGCAGCCTTGTTCTTTCCGGAGCTGAAGAAGGCCTGGCGTGCCTGCGCCCACTCCACCCTGTGGCATGGGGCAGAGTTAAGCAGTGGGCACATGGACTTGGGATGGAGGGTGCATCCGAGGGCCTGGCTGGGTCTGGAGATGGGAGGGTACTAGGCTGGGCCTGCAGGTGGGAAGTGGTGCCAGGCTGGGCCCAGAGGTAGGGGGTGCCAGGCTGGGCCCGGAGGTGGGGGTTCCAAGCTGGGCCCAGAGGTGGGGGGCACCAGGCTGGACCCAGTAGTGGGAGGTGGCAGGCTGGGCCCAGAGATGGGAGGTGCCAGGCTAGGCCTGAAGGTGGGGGTGCCCACCTTGCACACTTCAGGCTGTCTTAGAGGGTGTCCCCTGCCTTGCACACTCCCACCTAGCTGCCACCCGTCAGACGTAGGTTACACTGGCTGTCATGCTATGATTACCACCAATGCCCCTCCCTGGTTGTGCCTCTAGCCCCCAGTTCCAGGGTGGCAGGAAGGGCCACGCTCCTCTCCGCATGGAGACCTGAACCTCGGGGTGAAGACAGTCCCTCCCCACAGGCCGATACCTTCCTCCTGCAGTGAGGGCTGCCAGCTTCTCCTCCCCAGGCTGAGGCGGGGAGGGGTCGTCCAGGATTCTCTGGAATTGCATCTGCAGATCCCGAGGCTGGAGCAGACGGGAGCCCTCATAGAGCCACAGCTTGAAGAAGCGTCCTTTGTGGTAGACAGCCACGTGCCGGCTGTCCGAGAGGTGTTGTAGCGTATCTGTGACAGAGATCAGGGGCAAGCTGAGGTGGGCCGTGGGAAGCAGCTCATGGCCCCAGGTACATCCTGAGAAAGGTCCACCTCCCATGCGCTAGGTGGCCCCTGCAGACCCCGCTTTGCTCGGCCTCTGCCTGGGCCTTCCTGCCCCCTGGATGGGATCTGTGTGTCCTAAACCAGGACCTGTGCTGGGTGCTTCTGCTGCCTCTCATAACACCAACAGCAATCCTATAAAGTATTTCACAGAAGAGGAAACAGAAGCACTAGGAGGTTATGCACATGGCCTGAGGATACAGGGTCAGAAGCAAGGAAGGCTACCGCCTCTGCCAGGCCCCTGGGTGTGCCCCTCCTCTCCTCCTCTGCCAGCTCCATGGCAGCACCAGGCCTATCCTAAGCTCTGGGTTGCAGCAGGACCCCCTTGCGCACACACAGTGAAACCTGGATTGGGGGGCTCTGCTTTGGGCCCTGTGGGGTCCCAACACCAGCAGCATGCCTGCTAATAATAGATGTCTAGTAAATGTCACGAATAGACTACTGTTCGCAGTTTCAGGACCCTGAGACACTGGGGACACTTGGTGATGAGCAGGTAGGAGGGCACCGAGCCAGGTGGGCCATAGGTAGGAGGAAGCGGGCTCCATTACCTGTCTCCTTGCCCGGGATCCGAGTGGTGTTGAACATCCTCTCCATCTGGTAGGAGCACATGGGCACCATGCCCAGTGCCATCACCTAGGGGAAGGCCCAGCATGGCTCAGAGTCAGGTCTCCTCTCCCATCCCACCTTCAATCCTGATGCAACTCACAGGCTTGATTTCTTCACGGTCCAGTTTACGGCGATACATGATCATGGCATGGATGATGTTTCCCAGACGGGCTGCCTGCACGTCTGTATTCCTGATGAGCACAAGGTCCTAAAGAGAAAGCAGAGCCCACAGGGTGGGTGCCTCTGTCGGGGTGGCACCTGGATCTTGCCGACCCAAGGACCAATCTATCTGGGGGCCTGAGGTGTTGTCTCCCTCTTCCAGTCCATCCTGCACATGCTGTGGGGGTGAACCTCCAGAAATGCACAACTGATCACAGTAACCCTCTGCTCCAGCTTCAGCCATCCTGCACATGCTCTGGGGGTGAACCTCCAGAAATGCACAACTGATCACAGTAACCCTCTGCTCCAGCTTCAGCCTGAGCTGCTTTTTTTATTCTTTATTTTTTAGAGTCAGGGTCTTGCTCTGTCACCCAGGCTGGAGTGCAGTGGGGCAAGCATGTCTCATTGCAGCCTCAAATTCCTGGCCCTAAGTGATCCTCCTGCCTCAGCCTCCTGAGACGCAGGGATGAAAGGCATGCACCACCAAGCCTGGCTCGGAGCTGCCCTTTTATAACCTATTTTATGTGCACGTGTTCTACTTATTTTGCTTTGATAAAGGGGCTCTACCGCTAAAAAGCAGTTTGAAACCTCCGATAGGGACAAGTTGTGTCTAAGTTTCAGGAAGGATAGTTTATGGAGAAGAATTCCAGTAGACTCTCCCGAGTTGAGTGTGCTTCGGACAGTGGAAAAGGGGAGAAGAGGAGGGTCATGCAAGACCCAGAGACTCAGGAGGGCCAGTTACATGGGACAGAGGCAGACTGTGACCTCCTGAGCTCTAAGAGAAGGAGCCTGGCCTTCATTCTGCTGTCTGGCTCTGCAGAGGGACACAAAGCAAGACATGTTCTAGAAAATTCCCTGGTTATGGTGTCAGGACAGCTAGGAACCCATGGCCAGGAGGCCAGTAAGGAAACCAGGGAAAGAGGTGACAGAGCCTGAGCTGGGCAGGGGCACTGACCCTGAGACTCTAAGAGAGGCAGTGACAGGCTGGGCGGGGGTCTCCACTCTCCTCATTCTCAGGATCCCCGTCATCCCTAAGCTGCTTCCGGACTCTTCTAGGATCTCCTCTCCCTCTTCCCTTTCCCTCAGGCCTCACTTCTTAACCCCCACTTCCCCACGGAAACTGCTACCAGAGCTCTGGGCTGTCCTCCAGGTCCTCTGCCTTGGAGTGGGGACAGAGCTGAGCATGTGCAGGGGCCCAGGGGCTCCGGTTCATACCATGACATAATAGTTGCTGTTCACCATGAGAGGGCTCCTGCCTCGAAGGTAAATGTACTCTTCCCACCAGTCACTCACCTGTGGGCAGGTGGAAGGTTAGAGCCAGGGTGGGGGCAGCCAGGACACACGGCAGGGACAATGAACCCAAGGGCACAAACTTACATAGTTAGTTGCCCACCATGACTTGAGCACCAGATATTTCTGCAGCCTGGGGGCAGTCTTCTCCTTGAATTCTTCAGCCAGCATCTCCATGCGGTAATATTCCTCATCATCCAACAAGGGCCTCACAGACTCTAGGTACTGTCCAGCCAGTTATCCTTACCATGGGGCCGGCTGGCGAGGACTGCCTCTATCTTAATCCTCTTCCCACCTCTCCCAGCCCCTTTATTCTCAAGCCCTTAAGGCCATTCTTTGCAAAAAACCTTATATTTAGAAACATCCCCTGAATCCAGCCTCCCCTGCCCGCTGGGATGCCCAAGCGAGGTGCTCACCCGCTGAATTGTGGCTGACACCCTGGGCACAGGAAGCTTGGGCAGAGACGTCTGGAAGCTGTAGAGCATGGGGCGCCGACTGGATAGAAGGCGGATACATATCTAGGGGTACAGAGCAGAGCGCTGGGGTGGGAGCCCACGGAAAGAATGGAAACCAGCCAGCAATCCCCTGAGAACCTCAGAACCATCCCGGCCCCTCCAGGACAAACCCCACACCAGGCACCAGTGCCCTGTCTGTCTCTCCCCTCTGGCTCAGAACCCCAAAGGAGCCCAAACAGTCTCAACCCAGATGCCTGAAACCCTGCACTGGCGGCTGCTCACAGCCCAGATCCTGGTCAAGTGGCTGGTCTTGCCATGCATCTCAAACATCCACCCATGGTAGGAAAGCAGCAGCTTCAGAGTTTGGCGGAAGAAGAAGATGCCTGTTGCCCAGACGCCCGTGGAGAAGATGGCCATGCTAAGAAGTTCCCGGGTCTGCAGTGTCTGGTAGGGCTCACACCTATTGGAGAAGGCGTAAGGGCTGCAGAGGGTCCTCTTGAGGCTAGCCTCAGGTGGCTGTGAACTGTCTCAGGGAGACACCAAGGGGAAGAACCTCCCTGGACACACTTAAGTCTGATTGCACCAAGTAAGAGCTGATATAGGATTAAGACAATGGTTGTCATAAGGGAGGGCTTCCCTGTGATTGCCGATGGCTACTGTCCGTATCTGCCCAGCTCAGGAAACTCAGCCTAGGGAGCTGGGCGTAGCCCTCCCTGGTGACACCTGAGCCCTTCCAGCTTCACTCCTTACCCCCGAGGGAGGCATCTCTGGATGCAACCGACCAGCCCCAAGGAGATGTCCAAGTTGCAGTAGGAGGAACCCACTGTTGCCATGACGACGACCAGCCAGCTGGTGGGGCTGCCAGGGTACACGCCCCTGAGGATGCCATTCTGTGGGCAGAAACAGGCACCCTTATGCAGCTGGAGGGCATGAGGTTAGCGTGCCTGTGAAGTGTTGGGAATGGGCTCCTGGTCGTGGCCTGAAAGGCTTTCTCTCGCCCTGCTGTGCTCCTTCCTCCTCCACACCCACGCCTGTAGCTCCCCGTGTCCCATCACATCTTGTGCACCTCTCTGGTGTCTGCACTTCCAGAAGCTGTACCCGGCAGGACTGCCAGCCAAGCAAGCAGTGAGGGACCCTAACGGAGAGGTTGACAGCGGACACCCCGGCTCTCCCTCCGCTCCGAGAGCTCCCTTCTGCACCTGCTGAGAGGAAGAGGCTGGGAGAAGCACCTGTGCGCACCTTGATGCGAATCAGGCGTTTCTTCCAGGAGTTGATTCCAGACAGGTAGATGTGTTTCAGGGCCTCCCGACTGAGCCGGAAGTCGACCCCTTCTGGGGTCACCGTGAACTGGAAGGCCACGGCCTGGTGCGCTTCTGCCATCCTGGGGGTTGGTCAGCACCTGGGACAGGCGCAGGTGGGTGCGAGGGCGCGCTCAGGCCGGCCCCGCCCCCAGCCGCGCCGAGGCCCACCCCCCCCACAGCCAGTCCGCTATACCCCTCACCCCCCACCCCGCGACTAGCGGCTGTCCCCGGCCCGCGCCCCCCGACCGGCCAACCGCCGCCAAATCCTCGCGCCAGCCTTTCGGTGGGCACAGCCACTGTGGCGCAGGGCTTTGGGCCTTGAAAGCTCCAGGAACCCCAAGGGCGATGAAGGGCAGGCTGGAGTAGGGGGCGTCAGCGAGGGCGCGGACGGGGGGAAGAGGTGCCCCTGGAAGCCGAGTTGGCCTGGACAGATGCAGGATTCTCGCGTCCCCCTTTCTGCCCTGACCGCGTGGCCCCAGTGCCGTCCTCGCCCGTGCCCCCTACTCACGGCTCGGGTTCACTCCTGTCCGTGTGTGGGGCTAGCCACTCTGGCCCGTGTCCCCACGTCCTTCAGACCTAGTCACCCCCACCCCGCCCTCACCAGGAACCTGACACCTACCCGCAAATCGGGGTGGGGTAAAACGCGGGACCGGAACCAGAACCCACCCACCTTCCGCGGTGGGAATTGCAGGGCAGGGCAGTTTCTGCGCGGTGAGGGTTGCTCAAAGGTTTGGGAGCCTGGGGGGCCCCAGAGAGTTTCGTGAGGATGGTGGCATTAGAGCTAAAAATAGCCAAATGTAGGGAAAAGGTCACCGATGTGTCAGCTGCTGCCTGTTTTCAGATCGCTGGTGCTCCAGGAACCCCCCTCAGGGTTGTCTTCACCCCCATCACTCTCTGGTCCTCCTCCCCAAGTCCGAGTATTTATTATTCTAAGCTGGAGCCAGAAGAGTGGGGAGCGATGGGGGACCCCAATCGGCCTCATGAACCCTCAACCACTTTCAAGCGGTCACTGTCCCTTTGTGTGCTGCTTGGTTTGGTACTTTCTGCTGCTGCTCAGCAGTGCCAGGACAGGGTGTGAAGGAAGAAGCTTGTTTATTGTGTCACATACACAGCTCCGGGCTCTGGCCTGCCAGCCATGGGGACCTCCTCAAACTCAAGAGGTGGCTTTCCTGAACCTCAGTTTCACTTGGGGGCTCAGCCCAGTCCCCAGGGTCTTCTGCTTGTTGCTCCTCCCTCCAAAGTCCTGCCCTGGAGGCTCCAGGAGTGGGAGGGTGGAGAGTCAGGATGGGGAGTGGACACTGGTCAGCTGCCTCTTCTGCTGGAAGTAGAACTGGAACCGAGACCGGGCATAGTCCTAGGGTGGTGAGAAGGTGTGGGACCAGCATTCTTTTTATTTATTTATTTTTGAGATGGAGTCCCGCTCTGTTGCCCAAGTGGGAGTGCAATGGCGTGATCTCAGCTCATCACAACCTCTGCCTCTTGGGTTCAAGCAATTATCTTGCCTCAGCCTCCCAAGTAGCTGGGATTACAGGCGACTGCCACCATGCCTGGCTAATATTTTTGTATTATGAATAGAGACAGGGTTTTGCCATGTTGGCCAAGCTGATCTTGAATTCCTGATGTCACGTGATCTGCCCGCCTCGGCCTCCCAAAGCGCTGGGATTACAGGCGTGAGCCACCGTGCTCGGCCAGGACCAGCATTCTACACCCACCTCAGGCTGCCTGCAGCCACCCAAAACTTCCCAGGTCTCCTGGAAGAGTGTGGCTGCTGCTGCTCCCCAGCCCCTCAGCTAGCATTGCCATCCCCAGGGTCACTTACCAAGTAACCAAATTCTATCGTGGACATGGATGCTTGGAGGATGGACCACAGACCCCAGAAGAAATGGGATGCCAGAGCATACCTGCAGGGAGGGCAGGAAAATGAGGGGCATTCAAGAGCGGGTCTGGCACTGCTTGAATCCCTAAAGTTTTAACTTCTCCCCCACTGTCCTAACCCCGCTGTGCACAGGCACCTTACTTGCAGCTTGATAAATCTGCCTCTTCCCGTCTCCCTTTCCTCTGCTCTGCCCTACCCGACCCCGTCCCTCCTCCTCACCGATTGACTTCGACCAGCAAATCTTCTTCCAGTTTTCTCTGCTCCTCTTGGGAGAGGGTCTCACCTTTCTTTGCCTCTGCCAGGTAATGGCGAATAAAATGCAGCTACAATCAACGGCCGAGAGTCAGGAACTGGGGAGACTGTGGAGTATTTCCCAGGTAACATCCTTTCTGGCCATTTCTTCCAAGACTCCACCGCCCTCTTTCCTGCTCCCCAGTCTCTGGCCCACATACCTGCTGTCCTTGAGTGGGGTAGTCTGTGGGCCTTGCTTTGTAGAAAGGCCATTCCTCATGAGTATAATCATAAACCCACTCACAAAAATGGTTCCCAATGTCAAAGCCCCTGGGAGAATAAGGTGGACAGTCAGTTCCCAAATGCCCTGGGCAGTTGGCCTGTTTTCAAGCACCCTATGGGAACAGATCTATGGGAAGCCATCCTTCCACCCTCACCTATAGTTGTAACTGCTGTACTCGAAGTCCACCAGCATGAGGCTGTCAGCATTTTCTGGCTCTGAGAGCAGCAAGATGTTCCCTGGGGGAATGGGGTGAGGTTCTGCTCACTCCAGAGCCCTCTGGCTCCTCCATCTCGGGTTGAAAGACTCAGATGCCTTCTCCTACCTTCCTGAATGTCGTTGTGGCAGAAGACGACTGGCGACGGGGTAGACTCTAGTAACTTCCTGCAGGGGTTTGGGAGCATGGGTCCTGAAGAGGAGTGGCTGAGGAGGATCAGAGCCACACGAACAGTCCAGGCCCTGACACCAGCCCTCAGCAAATACTGGAAGGGCAGACACCACTACCATTACGTGCATGGCACCACCTCCCTAGCCTTGTCCTGCCTGCCCTCACCTGAGGTTGCCCATCTCATCCTTCAGGCTGTACATCTCCAGCAGGTTCATCTCGGGGAGGCCAGTTGGGGGCAGGTCCTGGATCTGTTTTAGGTACCTGAAGCCCAAAGAATAGGACACACTAGCTCTGCTATTCTTTCCCACCCCTCTCCTATCTACCCCTCAGGCCAGACTACTGTGCCCTCTTTCCTATCACTGTGTGACTTGTCTGGAGATCATTTTTTCTTTTTTTTTGAGATAGAGGCTTGCTCTGTCACCCAGGCTGGAATGCAGTGGTGCAATCTCAGCTTACTGCAACCTCCTCCTCCTGGGTTCAAGCAATTCCCCTGCCTCAGCCTCCTGAGTAGTTGGGACTAAAGGGGCACACAGCCATGCCGGGTTAATTTTTCTATTTTAGTAGAGACGGTTTCACCGTGTTGCTGAAGCTGGTCTCTAACTCCTGAGCTCAGGCAATCCACTGTCCTCAGTCTCCCAAAGTCCTGGGATTACAGGCATGAGGCACTGCACCTGGCCTCTGGCAAGCATTTCAAAGCGTATTCTGTGAGAGCCCATGCTAGACACTGGGACATTGAATCCACTCAAGTGGAGGGCTGGATAGAGCCATGGACACATCCAGTCACAGGCCAATGTGGTAACCAGTGGCATGGAGGTTCAGTACAGGTGTACAGGAGCCCCGAGGGGGCTCCCGACTCACCGCTCCATGGTCCCAAATAGCCAGTGGGGCTCCTTGGTGAAAGGCATCTCCATGCCATGGAACCGTGCCATCTTCGTGGCAATGGCTGCTGACAACACTGGCTCTCGAAGCTCTTGAGTTTTCAATGGCCGGCTCTGTACCCAGGAACCTATTAGGGTGGTGATGGGGCTGGGGCAGGAGGGGGAGGGGATGGGGCACTATGGGGAGGTCAGGGTTTGGGGGGAAATTCCCTACTTGGGGGGATGGATGTGAAGGTAGACATTGAGGTCTAGGGTAGGGTTAGGGAGTGGAGGTGCCTTGGGGAGGAGAGGGTAGGTCGGGTTCGTACTGGGATGTACTGTTCCAGCCGGCCCTCTGGAAAGACTCCATACAGCTGGGGCCCCAGCGACCGCTCTGCAAGGATGGCGAACATCACACTTTCCAGCACCAGGGAGTCCACGCCCTGAAAAAAGATGGATAGCAAAGGGGCCAAGGTGAAGTGGCACAGGGACACACATGAGGGCTTGCCTTCCTCCCACCAGAGCTGGGACTTCTGGTCCAATAGCCTGGAGGCTCTGGAGCACAGGCTTTAGTCCTAGTCTATTTTTATTTAGATGGAGTCTCGCTTTGTTGTCCAGGCTGCTTTCCAACTCCTGTGCGCAAGAGATTCTCCCGCCTCGGCCTCCCAAAGCGCTGGGATTACAGGCCCAGGCTTCAGTATAATGAGGTTAAGAGACCGTGAGTCTTGGGGGTCCTCAACTGCGCAATGGGGACACCACTACCCGCACCTTGTAAGCGACAGGCCCTAAAGCCACTGGCGCTGCGGCGCTCGCTCCCTCACCTGCAGGATGGCTCCGTAGAGCCGCAGCAGCACCTCCCGGGGCTCCTCGCCAACGCTGGGCAGGTGATCCGGGAGCGAGCAGCGGAAGAGCAGGTTGCTGAGGCCTCCGCTGCAGACCCACAGCAGGAGCGCTCAGCCCGCGGGCGGCCCCACCTGCCGCGGCCCCGGCCCCCTCCCGGCCATGCCGGCCCCGGCCCCGCCCCAGGCGCGGACGCAAGAGGAGAACGAAAATATGGAGCGTCCTGAGGGCCCCGCGGCTGACCCCTGACCCCGATCCGCGCACCGGAGAGGCTGACCCCTGACCTCCCACCTCACGGGGTAAACCCTCAGCTCCTCGGGCTGCACTCGGCGCCAGGCCCCGCCCAAGTACTCCCGGCACCACTGGTAGGCTCGGCGCTCGGCGTCACGCGACAGCGACGAGGCGCGGCGCCGTTTTGGTGTACTGTCCGGGCACTTAGACTGCTGCAAGCCGTCTTTGGCCAGGCAGCCGCCAACAGCCCCGCCTCCGGCCACAGCTGTCCCGTCTGCCGCCATGGCGCGGGCTCGACCGGGCCCAACGCCCAGCTTCGCTCCGCTCCCTTCGGACGGGCTCGGCTCCTTCCGGCCCCGCTCGGCTCCTCTTCCGGCCGGCCTGCGCTTCTCCAATCATACTCGGGTCTCTCCGGCTCTATTCGGCTCTTCGCTGAGGCGTTCGGCTCTCTCCGTGACCCTGGTCCGGGGGCTCTTTCCGAAGGCTGAATTACGCACTTCGCCACTGTGCCCCGCCCCTATGGGCAAGGGCCAATGGCCTTTCTCTGGGCGGGGTCGCTGTTTGGACGGCCTGGGCCAATCCGGGGGGCCCGGGGCGCGTCTTTTGGCGGAGCGGCGCATGCGCTTGCGAGCCGCTGGCCGGGTGCAGTAGCGACATTAGGAGCCGCGCTTTGGCTCCGTGGGAGTCGGAGGGGCGGTGGCTGCGGCTCCGGCGCGAGGGCTCCCTTGTCGGGCCCTCTTCCCCCGCCCCCGGGGCGTTCCGACGAGGAAGAGCAGCCCAGCGCGCGTCCGTCCTGAGCGTGGGTAAGGCCTAGAGGAGGCGCGCCCTAGGTGGGGCCGCACAGTGCGGGCTGCGGGCACCCGGTGGGTTCGCAGTAAACATTTGCTGAAGAATGAGACCCTTGGGACAGTTCCGATGACTCCAGGTGCATAATCCGCAATCACACGGGGATCTCCTGGCCGGTAGAGCCACCTCTGAATGAGGAGGCTTTTGCTGTCCTGCTTGATTCATGCCCCGCTCCACCTACCCTCCTCCTCTCCTCCAGGCCGGTAACCAATTACAGACTCAAACCCGAGAGCAGAAGGTGAAGACGCGCAGCTTGCAGCAGCCCCCTCCTTGGCCTGCGCACCTCACATTGAGGGCGTCCCGATTTAAATGCGTGCCTCCAGCGTTTCTGCTTCTGCACCAGGCTGGAGCGGCGACCAGGAACGCTGGACCCACAGGGATCTGTG